TGGAAATATTCCTGATGGTTAAAGATGGATAAAAATTGTGTCTTTAAGCCCAATTTTATTTTCTAAATGTGCCTGACCTCCACTACGAGCTGGTGGGCCACACTTACATTCCAACCTGTAGCAGGTGGAGAAATGCTGACGCTATGCTGAGCTCAATGCTGCAGAGGCGAGCAGCGACTACCATGAAAACTGCTGAACAAGATGGAGTTTGAGTGTGATCTCCAGAGTAGAACAAGAACTATAACCACCATCTGCGGTCCAAGATGTTGGAGATGGCGTCTGTGACCACTGACCACTCAAGCAAGATACTCGAGACAGTGGACTGACATCAAGGACTGCCGTAACAGCAATCCAAGCAGGCTCCTCGTCGGGAAACACGAGAAGGGAAGGACCCTTTAACCTGCTTAGCAACACAAATTTCAAATTAAGGGCAAGTTGTTTGCCCACTACTAAACATGATCAATAAATAAATGAGACCTGATGACACAATTCTTACCCACCTTTAACCATTAGGAACATTTCTAGCTATGGAAAGTTAGGTAATAGACTTTTTTATTTTACAGGAGGATGGACCAATTTAGGGCTGGGCCATATCATAATGTTGGGCAACGATAGGAAAATGAAATATCGCGATAGAATGTGGGTAAAACGTGCATGCACAGTGCCTTTGTTTTCATATGCATATGGCGGAAAAAGCATGGCGGCGAAAGCAGATCGTTGATGAAACGGATGAACTCAGAATTGGTTTGTAAAAATGCTGCAACTTCAGTGGTGTGGAACTGGTTTAGCTTTCGTCCGTCAGATACACAACAAAGCACTATTTTTGGTAGAGCATGCTAGCAGGCCGTCGTTATTACCGTGTTTTTTGGAAAATACGGCACACTTAAAATCAATCCTTTGATTTTTCTGAAAATCGACAGTGCCCCTTATAATCCCGTGTGCCTTATGTATGAATTCTGGTTGTGTTTACTGACCTCAAACGATTTTATGTGGTACACTGGCGCTCGAAAATCTGTCAAATGTTTTAGTACGACTTTGCTAAGCTACGAAACCCGCACAGCTTGATGGATTGTCGGAGCATTACGGCTATCGTAGGCAGGAGCCTCGCGGAGTGATACGTACTGTGCTTCAACATAATATTACCGTATTGTGTGTGTATAACCTCTTTTTAAGTTTTGTGGATAGTTATACATGGTTATGCTGAGGATATGTCGGCCATTTCCACTGGAAATGCCTTTTGGTTAAACTGTCAGCAAGGAATTTGCACTGTTACATTTTTATATAACTTTAATGCACATAAAAAACAGCTGCTTGTTTAAGTGAAAATACATTGATGGTTTTTTTTGCACTAATAAAGTTGTGGAGTTGTAAAGTATTTTGTCTAGTGTCAATTATATCATCAGTTATCACAAATTTTCAAATGTATATCGTGATAAATATTTTTGGTCATATTGCCCTGCTCTAGACTGATTATTGGGTTGTTATTTGTTTTCAGAGAATGCATATGGTATCATTTATTCACCTAGACACAAGTCTACACATGCCTTACTACAGTCACAAAGGCAATGAAATCCTGTGGGAAACACTGATTAAAAAAAACTGGATGTGCCCCCTGGTGGCCACTGAAGGGATCCATGTTTAAGAGACTTCCTCAATGACTTGACTTTTTAGGCCTGGAAGCTGTCCTTTTTTCTATACAGTCTATGTAAAAAGACAGCAAAACTAAGAGCAGAGGAATGAGAAACCAGAGTGACTGAAAAAAATGGCTTGAGTTGGAGGTCAGGTGGAGAAATTCATTGGAAGCCTGCCTGTGATTTTACAGTCAAGATGACTGAACGGACTTTCCATGAAAAGAACCTCTAGCTTGGATCGCATGAGTCGAGCAAAGATACCTAATACACACCCCGACTGCCTTCACCCAGCGGCAGCAATCCACTCTGTCAATACTACAGCAGGATCAGAGCCAACAACACATCTCATTTCTAAGCTTCTGTTTGCCACTTTACAAACTCATGTCTTTTTAACTTTGGAAAATAAAGGAAAATTATCCTGATAACCACTTTGACAGTTAAGTAAACAACTCCATTATTTTCTAAGAAAACAAAACAAAACACTTTGAAGCCTTTCAAATGTAAAATCTGAGGTTTTTCACTGTCATTTGCCATCCAACCATGGGACTGACGCTCACGTGTCTGTCATTCATTTTCACGCAGAACAAAGTCACATAGTCAGATTTGGTTTAATAGCACCTCCAGCATCACGTTGACCTTTTCACCCAGCACATGACAGGAGGCCCACCACTTTACTGCATTTAGCTCTGCACTGTCTTTACTGCTAAATGGCCAGTGCGCATGTGAATGACTGTATGTGTGCATACTGAAGCAAAGCTAGACTGAATGGTTTTCTCTCAGCAGTGTAATAAACGCATACAAACACAGGCTGAGATGCTCCACAATGACCCAGGGAGGTAAAATTACAAATCTTCTTCTTCTTCTTCTTCTTCTTCTTCTTCTTCTTATTATTATTATTATTATTATTATTATTATTATTATTATTATTAAAAATAAAAACATAGGACAACTTTTACAGAAATTTGATATTGGTTTAAAGAGTTTGATAAGAATGTCATTACACCTTGGTAAGTAAGTCTTTTTTCACTTATGGTATGAATATAAAGAGATTCTGGCAGGAAAATGTCCTGCGTTGTTTCTTTTGTTTTGTTTTTAAATAAACAGTTTTTCAGAGTAGGATTGGAATACAGGAAAATGCACAGTAAGGCAACAGAGGCTCACTGACTTGGCTAATTATCCCAGTCTGCTTAGTTTACCTCAGATATCAGACTATTAATACATTAATAACTCCCAGGTTATCAAACTTATCAACTTTAGAGGGGTTAAAAGGTCGAAAATAAAATTAAAATAGTTTCCCTGAACTTGTTCCTAAATTTTCCTATAATGGGTCATTTTACACAGGAATTTTCTGTTTTTTCCAGGAAAGCTACATACTGGCCTTTTAAAACCATGGCGATAAACTGCTTTTCAATAAAGTACTTTATGCATTTATGATGAAAATTGAATAATATAATAAAATTAATAATAAAAACAATAAAATGATAGTCATCTGCTAAGAGTCACGTCCCGGTAGGTTAAAACAGTGCGAGTGTCGTTTTATGGCAGATGTGCTAACAGGTCATGCCTGTTTATTGCTTAACAACACTGTTAGTGATGAATATGAATACTTGGCTCAGTGAATGTGGGAGTGCAAATCCCACAGTCAGTAAACAACACTGTAACCACCACAGAGTGTTTCCTTATCAGACAGTCTGTCAGCCAACAATGTTCAAGTCAAATTAACCTGCACTATACTTGGGATTTAAGGGATTTTTTTGTTTGTTTTAATTTGTGTTTCGACTGTGTTCATTTTTCAGTCACATTCTTAAATACAAACTAAAATTATATTGCAAAATAACAATAATCAAGTTTTCAAGTATATTCTCAAGTAGAATTTCTGCATTCTTACTTATTTAAATGTGCTTTAGAAATGATTTTCACATAATAAATGTTTCTTATTGCCAGTGTTTATATGACGAGTAACTAAATTAAATAAATTAAAATGTTAGACCTTCCTGAGAATCTTAGGTACCTCTCTTTGCTTAGAAATGTAGCCCACTAAATAGTAACTACAAACAACAACATGAACGCCACAAAAAGAAAAAAAACTGATTTGGCTTCACACTGGCTTTTAAAAGTTTCAATGTTAGAGAACAAGAAAGAGAATAAGTTAATATCAAAAAGCCATCGTCTACATAAACCGTGCATTTTATTTATATAGGGTGTTTAGTTTTTTGGTATCAAATGAAAACCCAGCCATGTGGCCATGTAGTAAAATATGAGCAGATATGGTTGGCTTCTATATCCAATCTCAGGGGCTTACATGGTAACCATAGCCTAAATCCAAATATCCAATCATCTGTCAATTCAGGATTATTTTAGCACCATGTCTTTCTCTCTTATGGTCTCTAAACGTCACCAGATTTACACAGCATAGGCAAGTTATTGCTATCTAGCCACCTATATATTACTTTCTAACACTGTTCGCCATTGTCGGGGCTAATGCTACTTCCCTTAGTAAATGAGGGTGTTGTTAAAAACACCTTTGTGGCTGTACTTAGACAACTTTTAATACTACAAAATGATTATTTTCATAAATATAAACAAAATGTAATTAGAAATACATTAATATACAATCCACTATCATCTACATATTGGCAAATCTACAAACATGAGAGCCATGCATTATAAACTATTCAACCATGTAGCTGGGGTTACCTGACAATACTTTTGCTTTTTTAAAGGTAACATATACTTTTATCAGCTCATGGTGTAAAAATCAAGCTTTTTCCCCATTTTTGTTATTTAAGGGTACTTTGCAAACAGGACTGCAAGCTTCCAGTAGTACAGGTCTACTACATCATACACAACACAAACAGAAGTAAAACATATCAATAAAAGGAAGAAATAGTAGAAAACCTATTATTAGATTATAGTAAAATATTCAAACAATTTCAGATATTTTAAGAAAAATTATATTTACCTGTTGTATGTGAATTTAGCTCTGACTAAATATATACATGTACAATATACAATATAAACTCCTTAAATCTAAAAGCAAACATTCCTCCAAGACACAAGCTTCCCAATTAGCTATAAACTAGAAACGTCTTTAAAAAATATTAATTTTTAAAAAGAAAAAAAAAACCACACATAAAAGTAGTAGATTTTACTGTTTGCAGTTTATGGGACCGACACTGATCCATAAAGATCAAGAAAACTCCTGCATGACAAGTAGGTTAAGGCCGGGAAAAGCAGAACTTTACAGTTAGCCATTAACTCTCCTCTCTGCCCCCCAAAGAACCGCTAATTCCCTCCGAAAAGTGCCCCCACCCCACTACCACTCCCACCCACTGGATGTAGTTAGTTCCTACTCTTCAGCAGCCTTACCTCTCATCCACTCCACCACTTGTTGCGGGTTCCACTTGCTCACAGCTTCCATTTTTCTCCAAAGCGCTGGGAGCACCAGGGTTTAATTTAACTCCAGAACCAGCGAGACGAATCCGTTAATGGGACATGATTTTATCACAGAAAAGAACACAAGAGGTCCGTTACAGCACAGAGACACACGGTGAAACAACGACCCAACAGTCCGCCACTCACTGACGGACTGCCTGCCTGCTGCTCTGTGGTGGCTGGTTAGCAGCGCGTGGAGCAGGTGTCAGGTTACCATTGCTTTGACCACGCCCCGTTATTCCTTTACCTCCAATCGCATGAGTGTATGCGAGGCCGTAGTTAACTTTTGTGGGGAAAGGGGGAGTGTTGTATGGAATGCCATTTATGTCAACATTAAACGATCAGATTATATATATATATATATATATATATATATGTGAACGTTTTTGAATACTCAAAGGTTAAAGCATTTAACAGCATTTGAAAGAAACTAATTTTTTATTCTTTTATTTCTTGTGTTTGTTTGCTTTTCTTTTCTGTTTAAATACATATATCAAATGTACAATTAAGCAACAAAGCAACAACAGGATTACAAAAAGCTGATAAAAAATTAAAATAATCAAGCTTTATTGTAATGTGTACAGTACTTAACAAATTTATTAGACCACCACCCAGTGTTATGTATATGCCACAGCTGCCCTAAATATTAGCCATTTCCAATTTATATTTTTAATGTTTTGTACTGCCTAATCCACCACAAACACTTTCCTATATTATAATGCTTCAGTATAATTTTTGCTGTTATCCTTAAATTTCCAAATTGCTCGTGAAGCGCATCATTATTATTATTTTTATTAAGATGCTACATTCCACTTAGTTACTTGCGTGCTTGAATACAAAATTAGTTTTAGTGGATTAATTTTATGCTTAATTGTTTTCTGACTTCTCAGAGTATAAAAACTTAAATTCTGTTTATTTGGCATCTAAATAACAATATAGTTTTTAGTGTTAAACATATTTTTTGTACAGATTTCTAAATTATTTGTTTCTTGTTTTTATGGCAGGTGGTTTAAAAAAATAGTTAAACATATATTCTTAGCTGTTCTTAGCACCCTATCAGGGGCTTCATTTTCATCAATACAAAACAGAGATTAACAGGAAAAAAAGAGACTAATCATATTTGCTGGTTTTGTCAATTTCCACTTTTAATCCCAGTTTTCACCTTCACTGAAAATGTCCCAAGCATATTCCAAAATATAATTATGCCCTTTTATTCCTTTAAATGTCAGACCTCAGATTTACATTTCGAATTTTCTCTGCAGTTTTTTAAAAAGTGCTTTCCCCATCATAACATAACATAATCATAGTCACATTTTTCAGGTCATACTTTAGGAAAATGTTTACAAATGTCAAATTCAGGCATTTTCTCTTTATGTCATATAAAGAAAAAATGCCTGAATTTGACATTTGTAAACATTTTCCTAAAGTATGACCTGAAAAATGTGACTATGATTTGTTTATGGGATGAGAAAATAAGTAAGAAAGTAAATTAGGTAGATATAACTTCTGTCTTTACTGGATCAGGGTCATTTGTTTGTAAATGCAGTTGCTCGGTATCAGTAAGGAACTTAGATAGTGTGTGCCACTGTGCTTTACGTTTATTATTATTAGTCTAAATCATGTACATCACTGTTCTCTACGCTGCTGCTGCTAAATGTCCGTCTCTGTATGTTTGCCATTGGTTTGTTTTTATATTAAATGTCACCATGGACGACTTCCCTGTTATCTGTGTACATGTACTGTACACATGTGTAATAACCATAATCAGTGTGGCCTTTACTTTCTCAACATATTATTATTAGTGTTTCCAGCATTTACGGACACAACTCGGAAAACAAGCTTTTAAAAACGCTGCCCCCATTTTCCGGAATAATCCCAGAAGAACCTGAAGTTATTAGCTTTTTAAGGATTGTGAAAATGTTTCTCTTTGTCAATGCTACTCTCTCAATCTCCATGAGACTTTTACTTTCAAAAAAGTGTACATAGAGAGCATTCATCATATAAAATGAGAGTTTTGAGTTGTTTCAAACCAAGAATGTAGTTGATTAATCTTTAAATGGAGCCTATTAGAAGATTCGCAGCAGCATTTTCAGAGGTGTGAGGTTTAGTCGCTGCATAGCTCGGAAGCTCTGAAGATGAGTTGACTGTCATCCTAAACAAAGACATTTATCATGAATAAGATTTTGTTTCTAAGATTTTATATTTCTATTTTTCCTCCCATCATCCAGGATATCAGTGTTCATCCCATGTAAGTATTAGAAATATGCCCATTTTTGTTGTGATATAAGAGTATGTATGCTGTTTGCAACCCATACATGTTTATAACCAAAACAACAACAAGATATGTGTAAAAGTCCAGATTGGTAAAGGACTGTGAGACCTTTATGTCCTTCATAAAGAGGGTGGACACAGAAAATGAAATATGGGGAAAGAACTTTGTTTAAGAAACTCAAACAATATTTGTCTTGCTTTCCACGCCATTACACCTTTTCATCTTTTAAAATAATGTGGGTGTTGCCTTTGACGGTGTTTTATCGGGTCATGTGTCTCTGGTAATATTCAGTCCACATGAGTTGTGCATGCATTTACTGGAAGTGTTTTCCTACCAAGACTTCTTCTCAGCCTCATATGAAACAAAGCCTCTGCACGGCTGATTATCACATTAAAAATGTTTCTTCTGGCCTGTAATCAGATCTTTGATCTTCTGAGCTCCACAGCAGCTCTGTCATGTGTGCTGGGTGTTGGCTTGTTAGGACTTTTTTTTCTGCTGATGTTTCCCATGGGAAGAAGAGCTCAGCAGACTCTGCTAACATGGGTGAGAAGTCTAAACCGTAACGATCGAGGAGACAGATGTGAAATGAAAGTAGAAAACTGGAAAGAAACGAGGGTTGCTTATCAAGATGTACAACCACAGTAAGAACCCTGAGTTAATATCTATGGGTGGACTGCGCAGGAGGAAACATGGTGGGGGAAGTTTAACCTTCAGGGGACCTTATTTTAGCACAAAGTTACACTGTGAAAGGTTCATTGCAAATGTGTTTATAATATTATTGCTGTATTCATTTACAATACTTCACAGGAATTTGCACTACCATTAAGATAATTTCATTTACATTATTATTATTATCATATTATTTTTTATTAAAGTTTACTGTAAACTGGTTTACTGCAGGACTAATGTAGTTTACTCTTTACAGTAATACACAGTACAACAAACAAATTAAGCATCAGGAAAAATTATTGGTATTGCACTGTTGAGTGAAACATTGGTGTTGGTATCTGGGTTTGCATCACTAGAACAAATATGTTGTGAAGATATTTCCTGACTTCTTCATGAATAAACATACGGCAGTTTTTTTTAGAGAACACTGCCCTCTTTTGGCAGAAATTAGACATGACGTTGACTCTGCGTGGAAACAAACTTTACTTCATGAGCCACGTGCAGCCCAGTCTGATCTCGAGTATCAGACAGTAAAATTGTCCCATAATAGCCTGTTTTTATTTATTTATTTATTTTTAAGTCAGTTACTTATTGTAAGTGTAAAAAAGTACTTTCTGATAACATCCACGCGGACCATATATGAGCTTTAAAACAAACAAACAAACAAACAACTTTAATCCACAAAAACATGAGTGGGAAATCCTTTACACTTCCTCGAAACTTTTTTTTTGTAAAGATCTATTTACAAAACAGGTGATTTTTAACCTCAGATAAAGAAAGTAACATTACAATGTCAACACTACATCTCGTTTTTACTACATTTATTGAGTCTACTATCTTTAAACGTGCATCACAGTATTATTTAAAGTAGAAAGACATAGAATTTTCACATTGTGCTTCCCACTGGACCCCCTCAGAATCAGAACACCACACTGAGGGAACCTCAAAGTAATCCACCAAGTACCAAAAACTTCAACAATAACTCAGTAGCACAATGAAGCTAATGGGCAGCATCACTAGGATAATAAAAGACATCAGCACAGGAAGACAGAATCCTCGAATCCAGACACTTACATTTAAAACAGCTGATTTTGCACTTCACTTCTAATTTCACTCTTTTAAAGAAAGCTGACATCACCATACTAGCGCTTAGAAAAGCGCTATATAAACGCAATCCATTATTATTATTATTATTATTATTATTATTATTATTATTATTATTATTATTATTATTATTAAGAGGTATATTTAACTGATAAACTGTACATTGTTACATACACTGTTAAGGAAAAGATTAAGAGAAAATAGAAAGGCCAAAAATGTTAACTTCACAATAAAATGAGTACATTCGATCATCAAGTTGAGAGAAAATTAAAACTCATTAATTACATGTAATAATTAAAATCGTTCTTTTTACATTAAAATACATAACAATAATAAAACATTGTAATGGAGGCCTGGTGAGGGAAAAACGGCTAGCATTTAAGAAATTAAATTAAGAAAGCAACATTCAACTTGGTCTTTAAAATGATCTTTGACCCTTGGTTTACACTGTGTTCCTGTCTGCAAGCTGTTTTCCTCTCAGCTGTAGGATTCCTGTAACAGGGGGACTCAACCGTAGTAACCGAGCCTCTGTGTTTACCCTCAGCCAGCTGCAGAGCTGCAGATAAAGCTGCAGCTGAGACTGGAATGATGTATATTAATATGCACACGGTGTTTCAGGAAGAGACCTGCCAATGCTGCTGTATTTTCAGGCAGACAGCAGCTGTGTAACGTTTCATTAGAACATATTCAAGTCATAAATCTGGGCATTGTTCCCGCAGGAATAACAAATATTTACATTATCTTTATTCATTGCCTTGGTAATATTCATTCAGTTTGCATGTCGGTGTGGTCATTAGCACTTATTGGTTTTTACTGTATAAAGAGTCAATGACGTAATGTACTGTTTTTATTAAAGACATATACTTTAAAAAATTATTTTAAAGTTGTTTTTGGAGAAGTTTTACGAGACACGTCGTTTAATGCGTTGTTTTCGACAGCGGATGGCGCCACAGAGCCACCTGTTGAAATTCAACAGAATGCACTGAAGCTGCCTCTGAGATTGTCTATGAAGATGAGTCACTCTGTGTTCTAGTAGAGGAAATACTAGACGCTTAGAAGTGTTCCTGGGTTCTTTATATATTTATATATATTCTTTATATATACAAACTGTATATACTTTCTAGATAAAGACTTTTTTGAGGGGGTCTTTGGAAGGCTTGTAAATAAAATTGACCTCTCTGTCTCCCAGAGGTCTGGCAGCGTGAGGGTTCAGACTCTTATCTGGTCATAGGACCAGAGGACGGAGACCTCTGATAAATCTGATGGAGCCACTCTTTCAGTCTGGGGGGGGGGGGTTACATCTCCTAATGCTCCTGTCACAGTAAAACCACTTTAGTCTTTACTTTCCACATCTGGTCCAGCTGGTCTTAAACCCCTGGAACTTTCTCGGTTTACTGTCAGCTGGGATTGCTGCAGTTATCTCTACACTGGACTGGTTGGTTAGTCATCACCTGCTTGTCTGTGTGGAGCTGTTAACCACCCTCAGAGGTGTCTCTTAGCAGGACGTGGGACTTGCAATAGATGTTCTTGTATGCTGCCCTAGTTTTAATGTTACATCGGCGAAGTGGAAGGTCAGGTGTTCCAATCCTGATCAAGGCACCCTTTAGTAGAACAGGACTCCTGTAACAGTGTGGTGTATGGGGCACAAAACTGAAATTGCTGTCTCTTAGCACATGATGTGAATACTGTCTATTTTTAAATATATAAAAAGTTAATTTATGACACAGTGACATTTCTCAAATATAGACATTATGATATTAGCCCAATAAAGATTGTCATTTGATTGTTAGGGTTTGTCTCCATTATTGTAGGGTCTTTACTGTATGATATAAAGCACCTTGAGGTGGCTGTTATTGTGATTTGGTGCAGTTATTGCAATAAAACTAAATTGAATTAAATTTTAGATGAGTTGTTTTTCTTTTTTGATAAATGCTATTTTACTTTGAAATCTGACTTATTGTCTCAAGTACTCTGCATTTAAAAGAAAATCACAAGTGATTTATCTCTGTTATGTTAATATTATTTATTAACTAAATTTCTCAAATGTAAAAAGTAGAAATGTTTGTAAAGCAGCATCTTTTCCAAAGTTTGTGCTGAAATCTGGTAATTGCTGTAAGATATTTGTTTTACTGTTTATGTTAATGGACATTAATATCAAAATAAAAAACGGAAGCAAAGCAGCTCATTTACATCTGTGTGTTTCACATAAAACTATGTAATATATAAAACAGACAGACAAAAGACTGCTTAAAGTTCAACGTGGTTTGAAAAAGAGTTTTAGGCTTTTCTGATGCTTCAGCTGTTCAGTCTTTGCTTACTTCTCGTGAATCTTCACTTTTAATCTTTGTGCTGCAACCGAAGCCATGAGTGCCTGAAATCTCCGACAGGGCCTGATTATGGAGCCTCCATCATAAAGAGCGGGGCTGCAGAGACACCAGCTGTCCGGTCCCTGAATTTCCCTCAGAGTGTGACCTCCTCCTGCCGGTGAGAGCTGCACTTTTTTTTGCCCCTGCGTGTTTCGCAGCTGATAATCATCAGATCCGCATGAAGCTGGAGCTGCTCGGTCAGACTGCGACTTCCCGGGAGAGTTTAGAGAGGAAAGAGTCAAAAACAAAAGTCCAAAGGTCCTTCTGGCTGCTTTTAACTGTCGCTTTCAGTCCCATCGGGACCTGCTGTGGAGGACCCACCGGGTCTGTGTTCCTTAACTCGGCCTTTTTGCGGTCCGAGCTGCCGCTGGATGGGACGCACATTTTCTGCTCGCTTGTGCTGCGATGGAAGCGGAGAAACCACCGGGCTCTCCGAGGTACTTATGATGCCTTTAACTTCTGTTTTTCATTCGCGTGAATGCTGTGAAAAGCAAACAACCTGTTGGCAAAGTTCAGTCTTGGTGCAGGTTCAGTTAATTCAGAGTTATTTTATCATCTCATAAGTGAGCGAAAATCCAGATGTAGCCAACCACAGTTTACAGAGAGATCAAAAGGAAACGGCTCATATTCATGTGCACGAGCTAGAAGTCGACTGTAATAAATGTTTCAAGTTAAAATCAGACGTTTTACACAACCATGAAGCGGCAGTTTAATATGAGATTTTTATTTCAAGTTAAACATAACAAAAACAATATCTTTCATGTCAACAATCAATATTGCGCCGCTTAACTTATTCAAACCAGGACTTTAGTTTTGGCTTCAAATGAAAACTGTCTGTAAATAATGCGATAATCTGACCCTGATGTTCCTGCAGTTTAACTGTTCAAAATGCAGAATTTATTCATAGAAAGTTTCTGTGTAACACTGTCTGAGATAGATGGCAAACAGCAGATGAGCAGTATGGGTCCCTTTATGGTTTGCCAGCTTGCCGGCAGCCACAGTTTCTGACTTTAGCACCTGTTTCAGACGTTATTATGCAATTCAATTCTATAAATAAACTCTGCTTCAGAAGTCAGAAAGTGTCGAGATGATGAAGTCAACTTTTTGAAGTCAACTCGATGGCGCATGTGGAAGCTGTCACACACCAAAGGCGTCCGGTAATGCTCATCTGCTGTTTAGTCTCTGTTTCATTCATATTGTTATGCAGTGATTGCAATGCTCATGTCCAACTCTGCTTTTTAATATTGGAGCTTTATTAGAATACATGTACATGAATAAGGGTTCAAAATGTGCTCCTGTCTCTTTAAGGCCAGCCTTCTCTTTAAAGGAACTTTTTTTTGATTGGACAGCTTCTGGAAACCTACAGAGGGGCAGCAACAGGCGTCAGTGAGCTTTGTTACTTGTAGAGACATAACAGAGAGCCATATATTTGGGGGGGGGGAAGAAGTCCTTAAGCATGCAGTGCACAAAAAAAGGAACATTTTTATATTAATAATATTATTCAAATGAGATAAATTAAGATGAAGAGTATCTCTCCCTTCAGGTTTATACCCCTTAAAGCGGCTCGCTAGCACCTGAGCACTGAAAATATGAAGCCTCTGTTGGAGTTGTGCTGCTTATTTTTATTATTTCTGCAAACGAATCAACACAATATTTTATTTTAGGGGCTAAATATGCTCAAACCTTCACCAAAAAGTTTGCACACATGTCAGAAGTGGATAAAATCTTTGTATTTTATGGGTTTTAAATATGAGAGGTGCAAAATGGTCCCATAGGGCCCCCTGAAAAATTTCAATGCAGTTGCCCGGCTGTTTTGCTTTGCATACACGTATGGCATTTAATACACGCATCTTAAGCTGTATGGAAAATCCTCTTCGAGCCATGCCTTATACCCAACAAGAAGTCCACCGTTTTTCAAGGTGTATCACAAACTCAACCCAGAGAGGCATCAGCGTGATCTGTGGCCAGTCTAATCGAAACGCATTTCTTCAAAGTTTTGAAGTTCTGTGTTAGACTGAGTATATATCTTCTAGTCTGTCTCAAACTTCACATGCTAGACAACTCAGTTATTGATCCAGCTGCGGGATGCCTGCATTACAGTAATGAGTCACAGTCACAGTGCCACCTACTGGCAACAGTAAATCAGCATCATGTGATCCCTCGTACGCTTGTACGTTATGTTTGCGCCGTGTGGTTTTGGTTTTTTTTTCTTTGTTTGTTTTTTTTAATCATGTGCAGCAGTGTGATGTGTCCTTCGTGGGTGTTGTATAATGCAGCGTCATGGACACAGGAAGTGACACGTTTATGCAACACCCAAGAAGATTCCAGGCTTTAAAACATCGAAATGGGACCTGTGCTTTGTTTATCTGTGACCTCAGTAAACACTTTCTTGATGAGTTTTTGGGCTCAGTCACTAATTTCAGGTCATATTTAATAAAATTGCTGAAGTTCATTTTGTAAATTATGATCGTTATTAGAGTCAAGAAGGAGGATTATCCAGGATGTGCTCATTGGCCAATGACCTGTAAACTCACGCATCACTAGGTTCGCTTTTCATGCCCAAATTCTCAGTAAGGAGGCTTCTCTTCTTCCATCTTTTCTTTACAGTCAAGTGGCCTTCATCCTGAGGGACCAGTCGTCACTGCCTGCATCTTTAATAACAATGTTTATGAAAAAATTTAAAGGTACAACAGAACAGGCTTTTGTGACGGCTACAAGTCATCGGAAGGTTTACAAATTTGTCTTTAACCTTGACATAAACAATTAAAATCATTTACATTTTCATGTAACTAATGACTTATTGAAAATTAGCTGTGCTTAACACACCTGCACAATTTTCTTCTTGCATATTTATGGTCATTTATTTTTTATTTTCACATGTATTTAAGCTCAATATGTTAACATAAGATTTCACAATATTTAGACATTCATATTTTGATATTGATGTTAAGAACTGTTCTGCAGTTCTGATGGCGCCACATGAAAGGACTCAGCTTTCGAGCGTATATTGTTATATTGTTGTGATGTTTCCTTTCATCTTTCCCAGTGTGCACTGTGACCTTTAGCATAGGTAAAGATGTAAAAGTGTGCCCCCTCTGTGGCATTACACAAACATTTTAAGATGGAATAACTCAGTTAATCATTACATCATCAAGTTACTGATTGCGCTTTAACCTCTTGAGTATAAACATTTTTATGTAGCTTCTCGAGTAAGGATTTCAGTGCCACCAAAGTTGACGTCTATTTATGTGCAAGTTTCTTACAGATTTTAACGTTTGAGAGATTTTATTTTTTCCTGACTGATTCATCTTTCCTCTGTCTCTATTTCTAGCAGATGTTTTGAGTGAAAGCAGCAGAGACGGGGAAGATCTGCAGCATTTCATCGTTGTTTTCTTGCTCCCGATCAGCAGTCTCATCCAGCAGGTCAGAGGATTTATTGAGGATTTAACCACGTTATAAAACTCTTTAAAGGCGATCTACCCGAGAGCTCAGGCTTTTACTTCAGTCTATTTTTCTTCTGGTTGGCCTCGGAGATGCTCTGCAGTGAGAGGAAGCTTTATTCGCAGGATTTCAGTGCTGAAAAATTGGGACAAATGATTGGACGCACGATGCTCTGCTGACCGTTTTTCTTTTTTAAATTTTGGATGTTCACCTTCGAGGTCGTTCTCCCACCACCACGTCACAGATAGCAGACAATGTCTACTGATAACAGCCCGCCGCCCCTGCCAGCTTCTCCAAGGTCGTTCCATGCCCTACCTCATCACCCGGCCCCGCCCACCCCATCACCTTCTCCCAGCCCGCCAGCCACCATCTGCAGCCGGCTTTCCAACGGCAGCCAGTCGGCGCCCAGCCCCACGAACTCACGGGGCTCATTCCACGGCATCTCCTTCCTGCTTCAGATCGGACTCACGAGGGAGGCGGTCACCCTCGACCCTGGAGATGTGTCGCTGTCGTCTGTCAGGGAGCTCGTCTGCTCCATCGTGGATCAGAAGGTAAAACCAAAGGTTTTTTTTTTTTTTTTCTGTACACTTTCCTCTTTTTTTTTTTTTTTAATCCACAACCTTAAAGCAGAAGTTTGGAGAATTTAACTGGCATGTCTCACCTTCAGGATTCAAAAAAGTTCACATCCCACATCCACCCATTTAGTTGTATAGAAATGAGGCTCAGCACCTTAGCATCCCTTTGTCCTCCTCACCCCACCCTCAGAGGCTCAGTGCCACACAACTTTCTTTTTACCTTTCATATAAACTTATTGGTCAAAGGTCGGAGTTCAGACACCGGTTGACCATAGGCTGCAGGGCTGAACGCAGCGACACAGGTTTGATTCTGAGCCGAGGCTCTTTGGTGACTGTCTAAACCCACCCTGTTGTCTAATAAAAAGTCCTAAATTTTTTATTTTTATTTTTTAAATTCGGGGTGTGTATGTGCACATAAATATGCATGATTCGATTCCTTGGATCAAAGTAAGGCTCAAGCATGCCGATGCGGCTTTCCACCCCGGTGCAGAACCCGCTCGCTGCTGAGGAAGCCACAAAAGGGAGAGTTTCCAAACCAGCAGGATGCCGGTCTGTTTGCTGTACCTGTACTGATTACCTTAAGAGCTTTAAGGAGAGGGTGCTATTTGGAGGAAGTCGTAACAATTATAATCTGTGCTGACCAACAACAATCCCAGCGACTGAGAAAACACAACCCCGGCACGTCTACGTGAATGGAAAACTGTTGAAAGTGTTTTCCTCCTCTGGTCAGCCTACAGGAGGAAAACCCACAACATGTCATTCAGTCTTTTTTATTCACAGCATCAACTTCTCCTCTTTTTTTTTTTTTTTTTTCCTTCGCTGCCCTGCTGGATTCCTCTTTTCTAATCGTCGTGTGTCGAGCCTGTCACATTCTGCACTTCAACAAATCTGAACTTTGGCCGCGATGTCTGCGAGAGCTCGTGAGCTGCAAGCATTTGATTGCATTTGTGGAGGAAGGAGTGTTAAATGTTCTCCTCTGCAGTGATGAGCTAATAATGATTAGTCTGCTGCGTCTCCAGTGACTCTGTCAATCTCTGCATGATCTGCAGCTCCATCATCTTGGTAGTCGTCGCTGAGCTCGGAGGCACATGAACTGCTCCTTACCTGTTTCTTGTTAGAATGGCCGTCCAGCTCACAGGGGATTTCCCAAACACACTAAGTGTTACTGTGAGTAGGTACACTCCAAGACAGTCAATTAGAGCCTGTCTAAAGAAGCGGCTTAATAATATGAAGGACCATCAAAGCAAATGAGAACTGAAGTACCAGGGTGAGATCTTTATAAGGTAGTTTGCAAACCAGGCGGGAGTTGCGCTTGTTTAGAGACTGTTGCAAACCCCCACAGGCAAGAAATGAATCCTGTGTGGACACAAATAATTAATAATTATCAGGTGTGTGGACTTGTGCACAAAGCCCGATGATAATGGTCTGATGCCAAAAAAACCCTTAAGTGGGTCCTTGCGTGCTTGCAGACGGTGATATACAAATATATTAGAGTCCATCATATAGCGACCAGGGCAGGCATCATTCTGTCAGGCACGTCTAAAAATAAAACCAAAAAAAAATTGCCGAAATGTGTCGTCAAATATAAGCAAAGTGGGCAGGCCGACACTGTTAGACACATTTGGGGACGCATTCAACTTTGTGTCAGAGCTTCTTCACAAGCTTCTAGCTTCCGCTCTGAGCCTCACCTTATCTCTCACCATCTGCTGGTTTTCTGGTTTTTACCACTGCTGAACGTACCACCTGCGTTTACATCACTCAGTGCATTTCCCAGCAAGCTACAACACGCACTCACAGACACGCATACCCAAATGAACACACACAGTTTGCAGCAAGTTTGCAAGGCATGATGGGTTGGAGATTAAAACCTAGTGATGCTCTCATTTTTGACTTTTCTGCAGACGCGTTTCCAGCGCTGGCTGCGTTGTGCGAGCACATCCAGTCTGTTAGGCAGTGTTTGTTTGCAGCTTGTCACTGGCTGAGCTCCCACCCTCAGCAGAGGAAAAGTCTTTTTCACAGGGAATGTCACTTCCTGGTTGGCATTGCTGTGTCAGCGGCTGCACTTCCTGTTTTACAGTCGTGTGTTTGGGGTCGCAAGAGCAACAGGGTGGTCAAAGTGAAAGAAAGTGATAAAACAGCCAGCTGATAGGCTGTATCTATTGTTATTGCGCATAATGGCAACCAAAAGAGTGTCTTTGTTTGTTTTGTTTTTTTTGTTTTTGTTTTTGTGTGCACATTATTTGGCCTAAATGCCAAAAAATGTGCACAAAAAACACTGATACGTGCATACGTCCAGGTCTCACCACTTCTGTGATATGAAGGCACGGCTGTTGTGAGGAAGTTGATTTCCAATTTTTAACATGAAAATGAAGTGACGGGGCTTCGGCTCTCATGCATACTCACAGTTTAGTCGACAAAATCAAAATCATGTTTGAATTTTTGTTTAAAAAGCTCCACACGGGTGCAAAATTTCTTTAAAATCTCTTCATTTGTCACTGTCAGGTCTAAGCATTGAGATTTTTAAGATGCTTTCTTTTAATAAAAATTGAAAATAATCAAGTTTTATTTGTATAGCATAACAGAATCAAATAATAAATCAAGAAAAAATATAAGGAAGCAATTCTTTAACAGTTTAAGTGTCTGGGTGTCATCCTTGATCGTACTCTATCCTTCCATTCTCGTATCCTCTATAAGCCTGAGCTGGTCCAGAACTCAGCTGCCCACGTTATGGGTATAACCCACCTCAACTCGCCACATCATTCCTGTTCTGCAACAGCTTCACTGGCTCCCAGTTAAACAGATTTCTCCTACGGACATTCAACCTCACCATCTCTGTTGGACCTTCTTCATGTTCCCACTTCTTCTTGCAGTCTTAGATCTTCTTCCTCCCTCCACCTGACTGTTCCCTCTGCCAGTCTGTCCTGGGGCCAGACCATGAAGGGCTTTAAAAGTAAAGTAAAATCTTAAAATGAATTACAGAAGTTCTGAGGAGCCAGTGTAGAGTCATTAAAACTGGTGTAATATGTTTACGTTTCTCAGTTTTTGTAATGGTGTTTGCACTTTAATGCTTTATGACTGATACTCTTTGGAAAGTCATTACAATAATCTAAACAAAAGGAAAAAACTTGTCACTAAACCTGAGTGTTAAACGGATTCTCACGGTATTCTTAAGGTGGTCGTAGCAGGTCTTTGTTTGTCAAAGGTGAGATTAGAATCAAATATTTGTTGACAGCTTTACAGCCTACTACAGTGATTTCAAACACGCAGACATGTGTATTTATACCATCACTACTTCTTCTGAAGTTTTCAGATAAAGCCACATTTGATAGCTTGTTTCCAGTATCTGCCAATATGTATCATCACACCTACAGCGTTAGTTTTCTGTGGTTTCCCCCACACATAAAAGCATTTTTTTTTTTCATCCCCTCGCTAAGAATCACACCTGTTTAAAGTCTGCTAATGTAGTAAATATGCATGTAATTTGTTGGTGCAGACATTTGCACAGAATTCAAGGGCAAAACTGGATTTACTGGCCTGCTGCAATCAGTGAGCATATGTAGGCAGATATCAGCCGACAAACTGCAAACAAAACATGAGGTCTAGGTGTCACAACCAGTGTTGGTCAAGTTACTTGAAAAAAGTAATCAGTAGCTAATAACCGATTACTCCCCCCCAAAAAGTAATCCCGTTACTTTACTGATTACTTATTTTCAAAAGTAATTAATTACTTAGTTACTTTTTAAAAACACGATTTACAACCTGAAGAGGTGATAAAGCGATAGATCTTTCAGCCCAATTCTACTTTTTCTGCATAATCCATCATACAAAATGTAATCAAATGGAAAAGTCTCTTTTTAAAACTTGTTTTATTAGTTTTAATCTTTTAACTTTATGCATCAAGCAAAAATTAAATTATATGCAACATTCTCTGACTGGAAGAAATTTGTTTAACATTTAAACTATTTTCTGCACATTCCAGCACATAAAATATATATTTTTTTGTGTTTACACTCACTCTTTCAAATAGATGCAAGTAAAACACAGCAGAAAATAAATAACATCAAAGACTAGCGGTCCTGTTGCTCTATTTTCACCTGTAAAGCAGGAGTGGATAGGCGGAGGTTTACCCTGGTGCAGGTGTGCCGCAGCGGTCAGTGGAAGAATCCGCGAGTTTCTCTGTGAATTTCCCATTACGTCGTTGCGCACTCGTGCTTGCTTGGAAGTTTAGGGGTTTTTTTCGCTGTAAAAAGAAGTTTTCTTCCCACGCACAACGGACACTAATGTTTTTGTCACTTTTTATGGAATCAAACTCAAAGTAAGGTCAGTACTTCCACGCTTTAAACGCTGCACGCTCATACTCTCTCCCACATCGATATGTGATCCATTGTTGATCTGCACACAGCTGTTGTCACAACGTCGCACTCGCTTACGTCACTGTCATGAGACATTCTCGCAAAAAAATCACGGTTTTAGTAACGCAGTAACGCAGCGTTCCTACGGGAAAGTAACGGTAATCTAATTACCGTTTTTGCAATAGTAATCCCTTACTTTACTCGTTACTTGAAAAAAGTAATCAGATTACAGTAACACGTTACTGCCCATCTCTGGTCACAACTGAGAAAAAGAAATTGTGACATGTGCAACAGGAAAAGAAGAAGTGAAAACGGGGAAATAAAGTGACTGCAGAGGATTTTTCCAGCTCTTGCAGAATCTTCCCCTCTTCTCTGCCACCTGGAAATCTCTGTGCATCTGCATTTAAAATAAATAAATAAATAAATAAAAATCATAGAAATGCATGTAGAGACTGACTTGCTTGCCCGCTCCAGGATGAGGAGGAGGATGATGATGATGATGATAATAATTAATAATAATAAATTAAAAAAATATTGCAACTACCAAAATGTTTTATTTGCTAAAACTACAGTATAATTTATAGTGTCATTTCTTTCTCTGGCTGATTGAAAACCCAAAGTAGA